GGGAGAGCCGGCACATTAATCTTTAAACATTCAGCATGCAGGTTTATTACAGACAGCAGGAGGAACAGAATTAAAAACGTATCCTAAATTTTTTAAAAAGGCCACAACACAGCCATTTGGCAGCTCTCACCCGGAGTTTGCGAAGTCCAAACTACGCCGGGAAGCCGTGATGAATGTTTGCTGAAACGTGACGCTGGCTCCCTTCACCCTTTTGTGTGCGGGAGACGCCTCATTGTGTTGTATTTCTTATTTGCATATCATTATTAATTCATGGTTTAATTTGCCAGCATTATTTCATTATAATATTGTTCCCTGACTAAAACGAGAATCAATTTATACCATGCTTTGGTCTCATATTTTGCAATAATTTCATGTGAAGTGTAGTTAGGACGATCCAAAGTGATCCCTTTGAATTTTAGAACATGAATATGCACCCGTGAATGAATAAAACAATTTATGAAGGAAAGAGAGTAACGACATTAGTGGGAATAGCTACATTTCAATATCATAAACTAAAGCAAAACATTCTGAATTTCTATATGATACAATTTACAAGCACCACAGCGTTTAACTAAATCTTTCGCTTGGGTCTTCTCTCTCAAGAATATCTTTGTGTAAAATTTTAATCCAGCAAACAGTCCTTTGATATAGTAAAATAATCCACTAAAACGCAGAGAGAGCACTGCTCTGTATCTAGCAATGTCGAGTCTATAGCGCACATTTTAAAATTCACTGTTTAGTATTATGTGCGTCCAGCGCATATGTTCAGCAAAGGCCACTAAACCATAAAAGCCTACAGAAATACTTAAGGTGGTCAGACAATGAGAGTATTCAGTCTCTATCAAACTCAGACGAGCACTAGCCCATTTTAATCACTGTCTCCTTTTGTTTTCCATGCAATCGTGATTCATTTTATTGTATTATTCTCTATTTCGTTCCTGCTACAGCAGGCAGAAGAGACCGAATCTTCGGGGAATCAATTAGAGCCAGGGCGAACTCCCACGCCTGGCTCTGCGGCAGTGCGGACAGTACAGGCGCTGGAGAGCGTCCCACCCCTGCCCGCCGCGGGGGCCGCGGACGGCAGCACCGTCACTAACACCGGTCACCGAGGAGGTGTGGAATGTGGGACTGTCTCAGGTCCAGCAGACAGATGTACCTTAAAGGGTGTTAATTTTATATATATATATGGGTGTGTGACAATTAGAAAAATAATGCTTAAAGGCAGATAACATTCAATAAGACCCCATAGTGGGTGTTCTCTCCCTGCTGCAATTTTCCTGGTGGCACAGATTGCAGACTCATCATCACCCTGCACTAGATATGCAGGCATGGACAATGCACATCAGAGTGAGCATGTATGTGCTTCAATACACCTAGCTAGTACCACTTTGGTAGGTAGGCCTAGTTAGTACTGGGTAGGACCCACTTTATTTGGCACACCCAGCTAGTACTGGGCAGGACCCACATTATTAAGTACACCTAACTAGTACTGGGTAGGGCCCACTTTATTAAGTACACCTAACTAGTACTGGGCAAGACCCATGTTATTAAGTACACCTA